CGCTGTCGACTTCCCCACACGTCTAACACCATAAGTCTGCACCGTACACACTAACACCTACAGTGGAAATAAGGAGTTTTTAATGTTATTTTTCGAGTCATCTTAGTTGAATCGACTTGCTGTTACCAACTGCATGTATACCCGCACTTACATAGTCTATGAACCAATGTGACCTTGTATGATGATTTTAGGGAATAATCATCTATTAAACTTTCTATAAAAACCTGCCACAACTTTTAATAGTATTCAGTTATTTAAGAACGAGGTCACAGCTACCAGTGGACAACCTACCACAGACACACACGAATCCACGATACACTCATAGTACATATATACGCATGAATCATTTGGTCCAAGTTTCTCCGCAGTAATAACAGGGCACTGGAGTAACTACCTCTGCTGACGTGAGGTTACAATTAGTGATAATTAATGCGTAGAATACAGTCAACCCCCCCCCCCCCACACCTTTCTCCCCCACCCTTTCCACCCCTCCTTCCCCTTGCTCTCACTCACACCCAATTCCGGTCTACTTGTGTTAAGGAGGATGTAATGGGTGGTTACGACCTTGTGTGTGTGTGTGTGTGATTACTGACCCTGCAATAGTTAAGAGAGAGAGAAAGCATGATGCAGTTCCCGTTTCATCTAACTCCTGAACTTTTTTCCTCCTGACGAATTATTGGAACGACGCGAATCCCGTTGTTTCCAGCCATTAATCTGCTCTATGATATGTGTCACACTTTCTACCATGCGCATTTTATCAACATATTTTTATGGATGATGAAAACTATTCCCGTGTACTACAATACCTCAGGGAAAAATAGACCTTATAGTACCTTGATAATAAGATAAATTTTCACCATTAAGTTCTTATGAGGATACGCCTCTACCGTCCTTGTCACAGGAGTGAGTAGCGCATCACGTTATCGTTCACTTCTCTCAATTAAACTCAATAAATGCATAGTTTCATCCCTTAATTTAAATCAATGTTTTTAATTAATTCGACAATTAATTAATGATATAATAATAAGGCTAAGGAATGTACACGACAAAAGTGGATGGTTGGTGGAGATAAATGAGACATGTCGAAAAACTGTGAATTTCTCAGCCATCTTACGCTCTACTTCTGCTGGTGTTTGAAGGAATTTACTTCACCTCCCAAGTGAAACGTTTTTAGGGCGACAAATTCTTTGTGACCCAAGGTTTGTGACCAAAAGTTTCAGACCCAATGTGTGACCCAGCATTTGTGACCCACGGTTTAAGACCCAACGTGTAACCCAAGGTTTGTGAACCAATGCTTCGAACCCAAAATTTGCATATCTTAATGTTTGTAACCCAAGGTTTCGGTCTCCGAAGTTTGTGACCCAGGGTTTGCGTATCTTACTGTTTGTGACCCAAGGCTTATGACATTTGTGGATCAGTGTTTGCGAACTGTTTGTGCAGCCAATTATGACTGAAATGTGCTGTGAGAGCTGTTAACACAACACTATCGTAAACAGGTCAGGCAAAGATCCCATTATTGTCGGACAGAAAGGTGAAATAACCTCATCGTCCTCACCACAAGTCACTTAACATATTTCTGTTGGCCACACTGTCTCCCCAACACTGACGATGCCAACATTTTACTGTAGTTTTCACCTTAACTTCCGCTAAGACTGGTCAGGTAGGTGACCCCCCACTTACCAGGAGGAGGACTTGCCTGGGGTGTCGTGACGCTGCTGACTCTTAAGACATAAAACAATGTTAATGAAACTTAGCGTGTCCACTACACTACACTATATAGGTCTTGGCTCCATGATCACTATTTTCTCTCAATACTTGAGTGTGTTGTGGTCGTGTCCAGCTGTTATGGAGGAACACCGTGAAAATCCTAAACCCTTGTTATTCTCACATCTAATCTTTTTATGGCCAATTCTAGTGTATTTTCTCCCGTATTTAATGAGATAATTAGTATAATTGATTAATTAATATGTAAATTGGTAATTAGGCAAATATAATAATGCAGATGGATGAGAATTGTTTAGTCTACTGTAGCAAATACTGATAAAACTTAATTCAGTCACATCTACTGACAGTATTATCATAAGTAAGTTATATTAATTTTATTAGATTAATATAATGAAGACCTAAGAAGAATTTGTTAATAGTCCGTAAATATGCTCACCTAACCTACCCTCACTTAACTTAATCCACCCTGCCCTACCCTAATCTTTCCCTAACCTAACCTATCATAATCTACCCTACCCTAATTTATCCTATCCTAATACAGTACTGTATACCCAACCCTAATCTAATCTAACACCTACAGATAGAGTTAGTAAGGTTAATCAGGTGAAATAAACTGAGGTGCCTAATCTTCACATGATCTATGTCATTTAGAAATCTTGATACAATGCAAATTAAGATCTCAATCAATTCTTCAAGTAAAAATTTCATGAGAAACCTCAGGAATGGCTTATTATACCCGAGTTAATCTTTCCGAATTCTCGTACCCGGACACCTTGTGGATATTGTCTCTTAAATGTTCGTAAAAGACAATATTCTCGAGGAAATGCAATATTACCAACACTACTACTTTATGAAGAAACATTGTACAGTATTGACAACCCGGGTGGTTTCTGAGGAGTGCAGTTAAAGTATTACCAACACGGAAGCCGTAAGTGCTGGTCTGTTATTACCATACATGTGATCTCTCTATATATATATATATATATATATATATATATATATATATATATATATATATATGCTATCACATTCAGGTGAGCAGACTAGTCTGTACCACCCTGAAGATGTGAATTACACGAAAGCGCTTGGGAATTCTGTGTTTTCTTCTGTGGTTATCAGCATATACAGATCACGCGCACTCAGTGATTATTTGTATATATATATATATATATATATATATATATATATATATATATATATATATATATATATATATATATATACTAAAGTTAGACAGCATTTCTTATCATAACCTGTTACATGATGATGCTGCATTATGTATCATACAAATCAGCATAGTTCAACTGGGATCACCTTCGGTTTGGCGTAGAGGATAAAACAAAAAAAATATTTAATGTCAGTAATAATCTTAAAAATACCTAACCGCCAATTGATCTGTGAGAGATATTTTGTGACGTTCGTTTAGTGGAAATCAAAGCATAGAATTGTCTCGGTACTATCATTTTATACAGTACTGTACTGGCATTATCCATATACAGTACAGTACACGCAGAATCAATGTAATTTTGTTTCGCGATTTCACTTAACATTTAACTACTGTATCTCTATCTATCTAATCCGTGTTTTTTTGTACCTTATTATAGCGTTGGCACTGTTTACGTGTCTCGTGGGCAGACTTGAACGCGGCACACCTCGGCTTCCACCAGTCACTGTCCGCCACCCATGATGACGTCAGCAAGAGGCAGCCGCTCTTCACACGAGACACACACCACAAGCTAGCCTGGCTCACTAATCCCCACAGTTTAACAAAGACTAAAGTAAAGAAAGATCGCAATAAGGTTTCTCAAGTTAGAACAGAACTTGACAATGACACACAAACTAGTACCCAGCATGATGATGTGACGGAAGTCAGTACCCAGCATGATGATATGACGGAAGTCAGTACCCAGCATGATGATGTGACGGAAGTCAGTACCCAGCATGATGATATGACGGAAGTCAGTACCCAGCATGATGATATGACGGAAGTCAGTACCCAGCATGATGATGTCACGGAAGTCAGTACCCAGCATGATGATGATGTCACGGAAGTCAGTACCCAGCATGATGATGATGTCACGGAAGTCAGTACCCAGCATGATGATGTCACGGAAGTCGTACCAGCATGATGATGTGACGGAAGTCAGTACCCAGCATGATGATGTCACGGAAGTCAGTACCCAGCATGATGATGATGACGGAAGTCAGTACCCAGCATGATGATGTGACGGAAGTCAGTACCCAACATGATGCTGATGTCACGGAAGTCAGTACCCAGCATGATGATGATGTCACGAAGTCAGTACCCAACATGATGATGATGACGGAAGTCAGTACCCAACATGATGATGATGTCACGGAAGTCAGTACCAGCATGATGATGTCACGAAGTCAGTACCCAGCATGATGATGTCACGGGTCGTACTCAGCATGATGATGATGTCACGGACAGTCACCGCATGGTGATGTCACGAAAGTCAGTACCCAACATGATGATGATGTCACGAAGTCAGTACCAAACATGATGTCACGGAAGTCAGTACCCAACATGATGATGAAGTCACGGGTCAGTACCCAACATGATGATGAAGTCACGGAAGTCAGTACCCAACATGATGATGTCCCGGAAGTCAGTACCCAACATGATGATGATATCACGGAAGTCAGTACCCAACATGATGATGTCACGGAAGTCAGTACCCAACATGATGATGTCACGGAAGTCAGTACCCAACATGATGATGTCCCGGAAGTCAGTACCCAACATGATGATGATGTCACGGAAGTCAGTACCCAACATGATGATGATGTTACGGGAGTCAGTACGCAACATGATGATGAAGTCACGGAAGTCAGTACCCAGCTTGATGACATCACGGAAGTCCAGTTCAATGTAGTCACTGAAACTAGATCTCAACTTGATTACGTCACAAACACTACTCGACTTAATGACGTCACAGAACCCAGAACTTGTTGATGACGTCACAGAACCTACATCCCAACTTGGTGACGTAACAGGCCTTACTATTAAAGTTAACATCACAGAAACCAGGCCAAGTTGATGACATTACAGAAGCTAGATTCCGATTTGATGGTGTCACAGAAATTGGATCACAACTTAATGGTGTCATAGAAGCCAGTAATCTTATTGATGGTGTCACAGAATCGAGTAGCACCAGAGGTAATGACGTCAGAGAGTCAGACAGCCAACCAATCAGAGAGCCAGACAGCCAACCAATCAGAGAGACAACAGTGGAGGCTCCATCAGGGGGTAAGATGATAACTAATAACACTCTGGATGATTACACAGTCTTAGCATCGTACCCAGAGGAGGAGAACCTGGAAGAGGAGAACGAGACGACCCCGGAGACAGGAGTGCGGAGCAGCAACATCCTGGACAACCACGGCTTCCTGATATCACACCCGGAGGAGGAGAGACTGGACGAGGAGGACGACGTGAAGATCTACAAGGCCGTGGTGGACAGTATGGCCCAGTGGGAGCTGCAGAAGATCAAGAAGATGAACAGGTGAGGCTCCTCCTTGTCCTCCTGTGTGTGTGGGGGGGTCTAGACACCCGGGGAATATATGAGAAGAAATTATGTTGAAGGGTGAGAAGTTTAAGAAACAGGTGGTGGGTACAGCAACAGGTTATGGTGTGTGGATGACAGGTTATGGTGGATGACAGGTTATGGTGTGGATGACAGGTCTGTGTGTGGATGACAGGTTATGGTGTGTGATGACAGGTTATGGTGTGGATGACAGGTTTGTGTGTGGATGACAGGTTATGGTGTGTATGACAGGTTGTGGTGTGTGGATGACAGGTTATGGTGTGGATGACAGGTTATGGTGTGTGGATGACAGGTTATGGTGTGTGGATGACAGGTTATGTGTGTGGATGACAGGTGGTGTGTGATGACAGGTTATGGTGTGTGGATGACGGGGTTATGGTGGTGATGACAGGTTATGGTGTGGATGACAGGTTATGGTGTGGATGATTGGTTATGGTGTGTGGATGACAGGTTATGGGTGTGGATGACAGGTTATGGTGTGTGGATGACGGGTTATGGTGTGGGATGACAGGTTATGGTGTGTGAATGACAGGTTATGTGTGGATGACAGGTTATGGTGTGTGGATGACAGGTTATGGTGTGGATGATTGGTTATGGTGTGGATGACAGGTATGGTGTGTGGATGACAGGTTATGGTGTGGATGACAGGTTGGTGTGTGGATGACAGGTTATGGTGTGTGGATGACAGGTTATGTGTGTGGATGACAGGTTATGGTGTGTGGATGACAGGTTATGGTGTGTGGATGATAGGTGGTGTGTGGATGATTGGTTATGGTGTGTGGATGACAGGTTATGGTGTGTGGATGACAGGTTATGTGTGTGGATGACAGGTTTGGTGTGTGGATGACAGGTTATGGTGTGTGGATGACAGGTTATGGTGTGGATGACAGGTTATGGTGTGTGGATGATTGGTTATGGTGTGTGGATGACAGGTTATGGTGTGTGGATGACAGGTTATGGTGTGTGGATGACGGGTTATGGTGTGTGGATGACTGGTTATGGTGTGTGGATGACGGTTATGGTGTGTGGATGACGGTTATGGTGTGTGGATGATTGGTTATGGTGTGTGGATGACAGGTTATGGTGTGTGGATGACGGGTTATGGTGTGTGGATGACGGGTTATGTGTGTGGATGACGGGTTATGGTGTGTGGATGATTGGTTATGGTTGTGGATGACAGGTTATGGTGTGTGGATGACGGGTTATGGTGTGTGGATGACAGGTTATGGTGTGTGGATGACGGGTTATGGTGTGTGGATGACAGGTTATGGTGTGTGTGGATGACGGGTTATGGTTTTTTGGATGACGGGTTATGGTGTGTGGATGACAGGTTATGGTGTGTGGATGACAGGTTATGGTGTGTGGATGATTGGTTATGGTGTGTGGATGATTGGTTATGGTGTGTGGATGACAGGTTATGGTGTGTGGATGACAGGTTATGGTGTGTGGATGGCTGGTTATGGTGTGTGGATGACAGGTTATGGTGTGTGGATGACAGGTTATGGTGTGTGGATGATTGGTTATGGTGTGTGGATGACAGGTTATGGTGTGTGGATGACAGGTTATGGTGTGTGGATGACAGGTTATGGTGTGTGGATGACAGGTTATGGTGTGTGGATGACAGGTTATGGTGTGTGGATGGCTGGTTATGGTGTGTGGATGACAGGTTATGGTGTGTGGATGACAGGTTATGGTGTGTGGATGACAAGTTATAGAGTAACGAGTGGTGTTTCTGGTTTCAAACAAATTTACGGTTCAATGCCTCACTGGAGCATCAACAGTGGAAGTAGATGTTGGCTACAGGAGACAATACTGAAGGTCAGAGTTGTGGTGACCTTGTTGAACACCGCGTGATCTTGTGTGCCCTCAGGAGGCGGCTTCGGAGGGACGAGGAGGTGGTGTGCTACATGGACCTGGGCTGCTTTAGAGATGAGGGACCTTTTGACTACCTCGACATGCTCCCTTCACCCCCCGAGGAGGTACGTCATGAGCCACTACACCTGCCTCTAACACTGGTGGCTCTCTAACCCTCACACTCGTTCCTTTGACTTTACAGGAAGCTTTGACCCTTAATTTTAACACAACAGAGGTGCACATCCCCCTCCCCCCACCAAAAAAAAATCACAACTTAGCCCATATAAAGCTTACCATCTGACCACTTAGAATGCTCCCCCTTACCATGTACTGCGCACCTCTCCACAGGTCAACACAAAGTTCCTGCTGTACACTCGGGAGAGGGGAGAAAGAGAGAAAGTGATCAAGCCCAACAACATCACCACCATCATCAACTCTCACTTCAACATCTCCCGCCCCACCAAGCTTCTCATCCACGGCTTCGGTTCCTCCTGCTACAGCGTCTGGATACGTGAGATGCGGGTTGCTCTTCTCACCATGGTCAGTATACTTACTGAGAGGATATCTGCACCAATACCCAAGTCCCCCACAGAATCTTAGTGCTACCCATAAGGACCAATCTTAGTGCCACCCTTAAAACACACACAAAATCATATTATAACACCATCTACACAAAGACTATTAGTGTTCTGTTAGTCTAATACAAGATAAATTAGTTTAAGAGTTAGTAAAAGACATAATGCCCACAAATTTAGTAAAATTCAGGGATAAGGTAAAGGAACAGAATAAGTATTAGATCTAGAATTAAAAGAATTAAGTCAGAATTTTCACATAAGTAACAAATTTTAGTTAAGATTTTTCATTAAAACAGAATATTTAAATTAGGTTAAATTTTTCACTAACACAACAGAATTCTCAGTCGAAATGAAGTAGAGGAGAAGTCAAGCCCAGACTCTGACCCCTGACCCCCCTCCCCCCACAGATGAACGTGAACATCATCTGCGTCAACTGGCAGAAGGGGGCTGAGGTCCCCAACTACGTGAGGGCCGCCAGCAACACTCGTCTCGTGGGCCGCCAGGTGAGTCCATCCATCTTATTGATTTCTTAGTGAGTAGCTCGTGACGGTCTCGGACTGACTAGCCAATCAGATGGGTCGTTAGTGATGGTCTTTTCCTTGTTAGTATCTTTAGTTCCCTAAATGGTTATGAGGTGAGTGATTGTGCCATGAACTTCCTATAGTTATATCACCAGATGGGTTAAAGATACCATTCGTCTTGTTCTTTTACTACCATTAGCTACCTACAGGTACCTTAATATATATAGTCTAAAAATTTCAAGCTCAAGTATCTTTACGATTTTGCGTTAAACAATATGCCTCACAACCCTCCATAAAGATACTTTTTGGAGTGTTTCCTTATTACTTTAACCCCAATCCACCCCCCCCCCCTCACATTAGGGTACTCTGCCCACCACCACAAGAAATAATGTCCTATATGAAATGACTGTACCCCATTAACTGTATATTATCTCTAATATATAATTACTGCATGTATCTAGGTCACCATTGTCGGCTCTTGTTTAATTCATATTCTAAAATAAATATTCAGTTTTCATCTTGGAGTTGTGGTTTTCTGTCAGATGATTTTGGCCAGGATGTGTGATTTAGCATGAATAGGGTCTAAGAGGTTCTGACACTGTTACATGTCCTCCATAACTTATAACAAATGTTACATGTTTTGACACACTGCCATTATGTTGTCCTCCATTAAGTGATTAGGAGACAAAAATTCCCCATCACAAAGCTGCCACACGTCATCCTCCCTGCAGGTGGCGCTCTTCATCGAGACACTCAACGCCTACCTCAACACGTCCCTCGATGACTTCCACCTCATTGGCTTCTCACTTGGAGCCCACGTGTCCGGCCACGCAGGAGCCCGCCTCAAAAACCTATCCAGGATCTCTGGTAAGTGAGACAAAACCCTCTCAGAACTCTCCTGTGTGGTGGTACTGGGATCAAGAAGCTGTCTACGTCATTAGTGGGTTGGGTGCTCAGTCATCATTTTGTCTCTAGAGAAGCATAACAGAGACCTTAACTAGGCATCCCACTTTAAGATCATCTGTATCATGATGTGAAAACTTTATTCTTATTTACTAGTAAGACAATGATGTCACCTTCAGGGTTGGACCCAGCTGGACCACTGTTTGAGTCCTATTCTCCCTCCGTACGTCTAGACCACACGGACGCTCGCTTCGTTGACGTCATCCACACCAACGCAGACTCCCTCCTGATGGGGGGACTTGGAGCCTTTGAACCCATGGGCCATGTTGACTTCTACCCCAATGGTGGAAGAATGCAGACAGGCTGTGCAAACCTCTTTGTCGGGGGAGTGTCTGACATATTGTGGCGTGAGTCCTGCCTTCTATCTCCTCTACTTAGTCATGTTATAGTCTCTCCTGTGCCCTGTGTCATCTTGTGTACAATTATCTTTCCTTGTAAATATTTTAATGTTCTTAAATCATTCACTCTTTATTATACTGTACAGTATATTATAAACATACATATAAGGGCATCTAGCTCCAAGGTGTGTGTATAACTCTGGGTGTCTAAGGTGTTCACTTGTCTCATGTGGTTTACTGTGCAAAGAAAGTCTGATGACTGTCTTGTAGTGCCCAGATTGATGATGAAGCTCCTAAACATGTACCACAGGTGAGGACTCGTACAGATGTGTCAGTTTTACCCGAGAATTTCCTCCACCACTCAAGAGTCACTAAGGATGACAACTGTTACTGCACCTTACTATTACTGTTACCACATCTTACACCCACTGTTACCACATCTCACATCCACTGTAACCACATCTTACTACCACCGTTACCACCGTTCTTTGCCCCTTCCTTTCACAGCTACTGAAGGTGATGGGCGGTACCTCTGCAACCATCGGAGAGGTTACAAGTATTACCTCAACTCGGTGGCACCCATCTGTAAATTCCCTGCCTTCATTTGCCGTGACTATGAGACCTTTCTGAAAGGCGACTGCTTCCCCTGTGACTCCTGTGGAAACATGGGCTACTTTGCTAACCAGGCTGAGGGACGCGGCCAGCTCTACCTAATCACCAGGGACACTGAGCCCTTCTGTGGTAGGTACCAGAGGACAGTGAGCCCTTCTGTGGTAGGTACCAGAGGACAGTGAGCCCTTCTGTGGTAGGTACCAGAAGACACTGAGCCCTTCTGTGGTAGGTACCAGAGGACAGTGAGCCCTTCTGTGGTAGGTACCAGAGGACAGTGAGCCTTTCTGTGGTAGGTACCAGAGGACAGTGAGCCCTTCTATGGTAGGTACCAGAGGACAGTGAGCCCTTCTGTGGTAGGTACCAGGACAGTGAGCCCTTCTGTGGTAGGTACCAAGACAGCCCTTCTGTGGTAGGTACCAGAGGACCCCTTCTGTGGTGGTGTGAGCCCCTTCAGGTACCAGGGACAGTGAGCCCTTCTACCAGAGGACAGTGAGCCCTTCTGGTAGGTACCAGAGGACAGAGGACAGTGAGCCCTTCTATGGTAGGTACCAGAGGACAGTGCCCTTCTGTGGTGGTGCCAGGACAGTGAGCCCTTCTGTGGTAGGTACCAGGACAGCGAGCCCTTCTGTGGTAGGTACCAGAGGACAGTGAGCCCTTCTGTGGTAGGTACCAGGACAGTGAGCCCTTCTATGGTAGGTACCAGAGGGACAGTGAGCCTTCTGTGGTGTGACCAGGACAGTGAGCCCTTCTGTGGTAGGTACCAGGACAGTGAGCCCTTCTGTGGTAGGTACCAGGACAGTGAGCCCTTCTGTGGTAGGTACCAGAGGACAGTGAGCCCTTCTGTGGTAGGTACCAGGACAGTGAGCCCTTCTGGTAGGTACCGGGACAGTGAGCCCTTCTGTGGTAGGTACCAGGACAGTGAGCCCTTCTGTGGTAGGTACCCAGGACAGTGAGCCCTTCTGTGGTAGGTACCAGGACAGTGAGCCCTTCTGTGGTAGGTACCAGAGGACAGTGAGCCCTTCTGTGGTAGGTACCAGAGGACAGTGAGCCCTTCTGTGGTAGGTACCAGAGGACAGTGAGCCCTTCTGTGGTACCAGGACAGTGACTTCTGTGGTAGGTACCAGGACAGTGAGCCCTTCTGTGGTAGGTACCAGGACAGTGAGCCCTTCTGTGGTAGGTACCAGAGGACAGTGAGCCCTTCTGTGGTAGGTACCAGGACAGTGAGCCCTTCTGTGGTAGGTACCAGAGGACAGTGTATCATACTCTACTGCCAGCTGACTCACCCCGATGCCCATCTATATTGCTTTCATAACCACATCCTTATAGAAAGTTCCAATACCACAGTAACCAGGTCTGGTGCCCCACAGCTAACCAGTACAAGGTGACGGTGAACCACTCGGGGGGCCCACCTGCCGAACCCGTCACCACCTACGGCCGACTAGACGTTACCTTCATTGCTGCCGACGGGATCAACGAAACCCTCCAGCTGACCCAGTGAGTGGTACTGCATGTGTTGTGTTTTTGTCGACTATAAAGTACAACTACAGTTACACACAAAGCCAGTGAATAGCACCATAACTTTGATCCTCTTCCACCATGCATTCCCGAGTCCTGTACAACACTCTTCCACTACTCACACTATGTACCCCTTCCTCTATTACCATACAATAGTCAGGTCATTTAGCACCATTACGTACACCCATATGACCTGCCAAGTGCTGCACTGATCACTGACGCTGTACCGCAGGAGTGAGGATACAGTGTTGGAGGCAGGAAAGACTACGGTGAGGATCCTGGTGCCTCATCCAGCCCTCACGGAGGTCCACGCCGTCCAGCTCCGCTACACCGCCTACAACGGATGGATCTATACTGGGTTCTCCCGCTGGGCCATCGACAAGATCTCCCTCATGGACAGTTTTGGTAACATGTAAGTTAACTGCACTGTACTGTAGCCGTGTTCCACCTTCCTCTTATGTTATGTTCTTTCTTCTCTTTCTCTCTCACTCTTTTTCTCTCAGCGTTCTCTCTCTCTCTACTTTCCCAGCTCCCAATGTTGCCACAACAACTTCAGCAATACAAATCAGGCATTTTCTTTTCATAAACTTCATTAGTTTTTTATCCTGAGGCTTACAGTTTCCATACCAATAATAATAGTAGTAATGATGACAATAATAATAAGAAGAAGAAAAAGAAGACGAGAAGATTATTATTACCCAAATCAAGAGCAACACACACACACACACACACACACACACACACACACACACACACAGACAGACAGACAGACAGACGCACGCACGCACGCACGCACGCACACACACCTGCTCCCAGTAACCACCTATCATACAAGGTGTCCATTAATTACCTGATCCATTCTAAAGTTTAATAACCTCAAACATGATACAGATAGAACACACCCCAAGATTTTATCATACTTGGCCAACACTTCACCATTCTCCCTTGTCTTAGTAGATTTATATTTGTGTTTATTTATTATATTTTTGAGGATATAAAGTTTTAAAATGAGTCGGATAAGTTATGGACATCCTGTATATTATTTAAGACTTATAACCCAATAACAACAACAACAACTCCTCATCTACCACCAGGTTGTCATTCTGTCACCGAGGGACAACGTTGATCTCAGGAAAGGCAATGCACTTGACACTGTTACCAGGGGACTGTGTTGTGAGGGACGCCCCATTGAATCCTGCCCTCACCCCACACCGCTTCTCCGACTCCTTGCCTGAGGTACATCACTGATATAAGCGCTAGGCTCTTATTAATTATGGTACAGTATTTTCCTCATATATTTATTGGTAAAGACTCGAGAATGGATATTAATTGTTTTAGAGTCAACACAGAGACTTGACTTAAAAACACTCTAAGTGTCGTGGTGGTGAGACTACCCCTCCAGGGAGGCCTAAGAGCCAAGGACAACTTTTGACAGATTACTGTACATCTTCCAAATACTGTACTATAAAAATATAAAACCACTAACAACAGGTTTGTATTAGTAAGCCTACATAAGTATTCCACAGTTCTGTCATAACTAATATCTTTGTTTGCAGGAAAGCGAGAATGAAGTGCAACAGTTGTCTCCAGTCCTGGCCGTGGCACCTCGTCCAGAGCCTCAACGCAACACCACTGTCTCCCATCATCCCTTCAACCTCACCCAACCCATCCCAACACCTATTCTCACACCCCTAGATGCCCACACCACTATATTAACACCTCTGCATGGTCAAGTACCACTTCCCATCAACAGGGAAGTTCTTCCAAACTACAGTCGTCCTCAAGGGTTCTACAATATGTCCCTGCTGAGGCCCCCTCACCCACCCCAAGTTATCCTTCCTGACAAACTCTCAATCAACTTACCTGACAAGATGCAGAACAAAGTACCCCTCACGAGGTATGGTGTGGCTGGAGGGGGAGTACTGACACCACCAATACCACTGTCAGGGACACAGGCCAGTGTTGTGGCTGTCAGCAGTGAGGAGCCCGTCAATGTCATCCCAGCACCAAATTTGGCACACTTCCCTACACAGGGGTCCCAGATAGTGTTTCATCCAGAGAATGAACAAGGATCTGGAGGTGTACATCCATCTGGAAGTAAAGAATCATCAAATTCTGTAAATGCTCCAGTGTTCCTACATAACACCACACCTATACCTTCCCCTGCTGGCCACAACCAAACAATGAATCACCCAATAGTTGTCAGCAAGGCTGAGACTGGGTTAACAAATAAGGGGTCACCACCCAGCATGGTAGTGACCCCTTCACTTGCTTCTGCTCTCCTGCCTCCTGACATTCACATCATTAATGCCACCATCCAAACTAATAAAAATGCCGAAGACAGAACATTCTCCACCCGAGTGAGCAGCGTGACGCCCAATACTGACGCAAGTCACGCTTCCAACAGTTTCAAGACTACAGTTAAAAACAACAAGACAGATCCTATTATAAGTAGCACACTCAGTCCTGAGGGTCCATCCTTACCATCAGTTTCAACTCCTCAAACACATAAATCTGGTCCAATTCTACTGGGGACCCTTACTCCAACCCCACCCTCAGCTGCTGCACGACCTACACTGTCCATTGCACCCACAGGAAGACCGTTCTGGTTGGCCCCTAATGAACAATTTAGTTATCATAGGAGAGACAACGTGGGCAGTGCCTCCCCTGTCCAGGTAGGAAGGCCAATCACTGTCTATGAATTTAGTCCACCAGCTGCCTCACCCCACCAACTACATATCCAGACAGAACTCAACAACAAGGCTCCTGCAATCTTAGACACCAACAGCTTAATAGATGGAGAAGTTCCTGAGAGGGAGCGAGCACGTGCCCTCAAGCTAGGTCCTCGACCCACCAACTCCATTAACCCCCAACACTTCTCAGCTGGAAATAGCAGAATTGACTGTGACAGTTCTTCTCTGTGCTCCAGCCAGAGTGACAACAGACAGTCATCTCACACATCATACACCAACATTCCTTCTCAAGTGACAAGTTCTCAGAAAAACTTGACTCACCGACAACCTACTGTCCACCAGTCTCCTCTCCAGGGGTCACCACCTTCTCGGGTTGACACTCCTCCAAGGCCCCATGTGAGGTATATCAGCACACATATTGAAGATTCTCAGCTTGTTGGCACAGAAACTGTTTTAAGACCTGTTGAAACTCCTCCTCTTTTATTTGTAGCTCCTAATGGTCCACTCATAAGACATCCCAGACCTACACCCCAGGCCAGGCCCCTCACAGTCCATGACACCCAGGTTAGGCCATCAGCAAGTCATGCTCAGTCACCAGGAGCTTTTCTAGACAACCCGCTGCGGCCACCACCATTACGCAGTCTTCCACCGGACACCATCGTAGGTCGTGGAAGAGCACCTCAACCAACCCAGACCTCACATGACCAGGATTCTTGGTTGCCACAAACACATCATGATCTCGAGAGAGTGAAAACTCGTGGACAAAAGTCCTCTCCTGTGCAGCAAAAGGCCGAGTCTCACTCACAGCACCAACAATTGCAACAGCATCATCAGCAGCACCTCACACAGCAGCAGCAGCAGCACCTCACACAGCAGCAGCACTACCTTACACAACAGCATCAACAGCAGCACCTCACACAGAAGCATTTCACACAACAGCAACAGCATCAACAGCACTTCATGCAGCACCATCAACAACAGAATCAGCCACGAAATCACCACCATCTTGAGCAACAGCAGCATCACACTAGGGCACAGCAGCCCTCAGGACAACAGTCAGCATCGGCGTCAGTGAGCAACGTGACACAGATAAAGTTTGAGGCAACACCCGAGCGGCCACCGAGACCGGTCCCGGCTCCCGTCCCCTTATATGTCCAGCTACTTCCACCAGCTTTCAGTCACCTGCCCCACCTGGAGACTTTTTCACAGCCTCGGGAATCCAGAAAACCCCAGGAGCCCTCCAGCAGGAAGCGAGGTACCGTGGGCGGACGGGCAAGTAGAGGACGTAGCCTGTCACTGCCTGCACCAGGGGGCCGGGCAGCCGTGTTCACTCCGCTGCTACTACAGGTGCAGGAGAACCACCAAGGCAGGTATATACCCCTCAGACACATACCACAAGCTCCTCTCCTCACCTAGACTCAGTGTTATTTATTCAGTGTTTAAGAGTTACTGATCATTCTCATTATAAGACTCTTGTGTCATTAAGTGAGTGTTGACATCATCACTGCAACACTTATCACTACAACACTCGGCATCACTACAACACTCGGCATCACTACAACACTCGGCATCACTACAACACTCGGCATCACTACAACACTCGGCATCACTACAACACTTGGCATCACTACAACACTTCTCAGAATTTGTTATTTAAAAATGATCTGCTTTTAGCTTCTTAAATTAATGAAAACTAATATTTATTATCTTGTTAACTCGGCAGCATCCACACCCGGGTCATTGCTCTAATATAACACAAATACTGTTGACTTAGATATGAATTTTTATATTTAAAACAGAATTAAATTTGTGAGTAATTATTATCTATAAACAGAGGACAAACTCAGAGCTGTTATTTGTTATATGCTACAGCTCCTCTCTGGGACTAACATTGTTCACGAGGCATTGTTATGATAATAGTGCAGTGTAGTGAGGTTCACACATGGTCTTCTTCCTGTACTAACCACTGTATTGAACTGTATGGTAGCACAAGATGATGATGGTGACACACACAAGATCATAATGGTGCTTTTTCTCGTTGTTGGCAATGATGAATCAAGAAGGTGGTGACTCAATAGTGTAACTCAACTGCACCAAACTGTTAGCTACACATATTAATTCTTATCATCTTCTTGTTTGACTTTTTTGTTTGTAGGGTGAGCAGTGCCTTGTTTGTGTAAGGATAATTAGTGCCGTGTGTGTGTGGTGGCCATGAACGAGTGTCTCTCCTCCAAATCTATCTGACAAAACCTAATAATTTTCTATTTATTTACATGAACCAGGAGCTGCATTTATGTTGTCAGTTATCTCACACAAAATATGTATGTACAGTTAAAGAGTTCACACTGTATGATGATGCATCTAGGATTATGAAGATTCTATACAGTACAGTCTGTTCAACCATGACATTGTTCATCCAGATAACATTTGAACGTATTTAACTAGCTTGACAACATTTCACAGTTCATTAACATGAACCTTAAGAAAATTTGGAATTAAATTATTTTTCCTACAGATAGATATATAATAAGGTAACTCAGGAGGTAATAATATAATAACATTCACCTCAAAAGTCATACACTGTGTCAAGTTTGAGTAGAAACTCGGAGGGATTCTTTTAAGCATTGGAGCTGGGCTGCGGTGTTGGAGATCTGATGTTCAGTATTACTGAACTTGTAAAGTACCTTGTAGCACAGGAAACAAACCATACAGCCGATAGTGCCTCACCACTCCGGGCTTCCTGGAGAAGAAATAAAAGCCTTAGACACTGATTACCTGGTATTAGTAAATGACTTAGGATAGTCAGACATAAAGCTGAATGCACAACAAAAAAAATAATCATACAGTAGATTCATGTTCAGTTGAGCCATGAAGTAAACAGGTTGACGTACACCTACTGAAGATGGGTTGAATAAATGTGTAATAACTTTATTTGATGTAATTTTACAGTTGAATGAGGTAAGAAGATGTTGTCATCTCATCTGTCAAGTTTAGGTGTTATATTCCTGTCAAGCTTCACATCTGGACAATCGCTGTGAAATGAACTCCAGTTATAAGACCCCAACCATCTAACCTAACCTAACCTAACCCAATCATTAGGATTGGGAGCCAATTTTAATAGGCCCAGCTTTAGTAGGCCTCATGTGTAATACAGAACTGTACTGTAATTAGATTAGGTTCATTCCAGTCAATTTTCACTTATACGAAGATTAATGAAAATAACTTGAGGCAATATTAAAGATATCACCTTCAACCTTAAATTTTGTTGAAGATTATGTGTGATTTTTGTTGTGTGTGTGTGTGTGTGTGTGTGTGTGTGTGTGTGTGTGTGTGTGTGTGTGTGTGTGTGTGTGTGTGTGTGTATGTGTGTGTAATTAATCATGTGCAAAGACCCTGCAGAAAATGTCGCAGCTTCATGGAACACTTGTTTAGGTCAGATTTCATTATCATTTATCAGTTTTCCTTATTTATTATTTATTATTTACTCTTTTTAAGTGTTTACATAAGTGGTGACACATGTATATATATTTTTTACACCCAGTACTGTACAGGGTCTCAATATATCATCCAACACATTTCAAAACTTTACAACCTCAAAAACATGTGGACCAAGCTCTATCTATTACTGTCTATCTGTTAGGTTATGGAGTTTTTAAATGAGTCAGATAATCCGTAAACACCCTGTACTGTACTGTACTGTACTGTACTGTACTGTACGGTACGGTACATTTTATGCCTGTACTGTACACAACTGGTCTCTCTGTAATGTACTGTACTGTACTGTACTGTACGGTACATTTTATGCCTGTACTGTACACAACTGGTCTCTCTGTAATGTACTGTACACAACTGATCTTTGTAATGTACTGTACAGTTCTTGTCAACATTTACGGAGGAAAGTGTTAGGTGTTGGGACAGACTTACCGTACATTATACACTTGACATAATAGAAAATTGTCACTCATAATACAGGTACAGATATAAAGAAGTTTTAGCCCCTACACTCATTAGCACAGGTATATTCCTTATTAGATAGGGAATATTACTGAACACAATTAATATCACTTATACTATGATCTTTTATTGAAATTTGATCTATTATGTATGCAACAAAAGTAATATACATAATACTGTACCAAAAATGCACCTGTCATAACCTAGGAATTGACTTGACCTGACCTAACTAAGTAACTTGACCTTGTCTCCACTACATAAGATAAAGCTAGGTTAGATTAGCATTAAGTAGCACAACTTAACTAGTACCGTATGTTTTGTTTGTCGTTACAAGTTTTTTCATGGTGTCGAGATGAATATTAACATATGTACTGTATCTCACTTTCTTAGTACATTCCATGGCTAACTAAGAATTAAAAAGATGTTTTCTCCTCTGACTGACAAATGGTTACCCCTATTTATTAAAACTCTTAAGAACATATTATAACCTGTGTTACAGTACACATGTACCTCTGACAGATTGTTTCAGGATCACTTTAATAACAAAGTATGCTGAACCAGGCATTTATATCCTTACAGTGGGTGACAGTTAGGTCAGGAGTTAACATGGTCTTAGTGATGCAGTCATAACTTCATACCAAACTGTGATGTAATATTGTACAGTGAAACCTCTATTAAAAAGATTCTATGGAGAGGCAATTCCATTATATTGAGGGTCCGTTATATGTGATAACTCCATCTAATGAACTATATATGGATATGAAAGTTCATCATATCGAGGGTCTGTTAGATGTGAAACCCCCATCAAACGGATTATATGGAGAGGTCCATTAGGTTAAGATTCGGATAAAGTCGACCACGGAACTTCATGCTTATATTTATATGAGGAGATAGAGCAAAATGTATATATACGTGTGTGTGTGTGTTTATAAATATTACATTACGTTTCCATCACAAATTAATATTTTTCAAGTATTTTGGATTTAAATTTCATTTAAGAATTTAGTGTTTAGCGAGAGACGCTGTTTCCATCTAACTCACGCGACTATGTTTTGCCTATCATAGTAAGTCTCAGTGTCACGCAATTATGTTCCACCGTTGCTCTCGGTGTCCTGAGCTTCCTCAGAGTCTTGAACTTTAGTCACAGGATCGCTTCTCTCTGCACGGCTGTTCTTTCTCAGCTTGGCAAACCATTCATTGTGTATAGAATCAGGTGCTTTGTACTTCCAATAAGACGGAACATTACTGACAATATTTTGCTCGGTACGTTCCAAGCCCAATACAACAATGACAAGACTATACTCCCCCACTTCCTGCTACAAGTAACATCACTTGTGACTTTATCCTCCAGAATCTGTTAAAGTAATATTTTCACATACCAGGAGGTCCATAGGAGGTTAGGTCAGATCGTTCTGGTTTCTCTGGCTAGGAGGTTTCATCACGGTTTTGCATGTTTGTATCCCATAATTTCCCTCAAAACTTCAAAACCCTGCCCACATTAAGCAACCAACATTGGTGGTAACAGGGACGGGTAATATCATCATAACGGCTCATATACGATGGAAATGAAGGTCAGATTTGCTTGAAACACCGAAATAGAAAAACTAGAAAAGCCTATTTTTGTTGGTAGTTTCCGTGGTCTACCATTTCTGAATTCGTTATATGGAGGTTTTACTGTAACAGAATATTGTGAGGCATGGAGCAGGGGGTACACAGTAGGGTAGTTCACTAGCTAGCAGCCCCCTATGTGAGAGTTTCACTAATATTGTAACTGCATCTAGGAACAATATAGAAGACACACACACAGACTTGAGAATATAACAGTAAAAACTTAAAAATTAAAATATACAAAGCCTTATTATAAAAAATAACTAATATATAGTACTACCTTGTGGTACAGCCACCAGCACAGTGAATCATACCTTAGGCAATGGGGTAAATTTTTACAAGTGGACTCGCAGCGAGTATAAGGTTTTTAACCATGCAATAGATTTTTTAATATTTTTATCATATGCGCCACTTATCAGCTTACTAGCCATTTGAGCGGTTTACCCAGTGTTAGTACAGGAGCAAACTGGGGACTGGGAAACCTGTGGTGTTTGGTAGGATCACACTGGATAACACCCTTCTCACGTGTGTCCGGGCCGAGGCTCAAACCCTTGACATATTGGTGAGAGTTAAGCACATTACCGCTGTACCACCAACAACTTTCATTCTATACACTTATGTTGCAAATGAATAATATGAACCTGGCCTAACCAACCAATGAAACCTACCTAACCTTACCTAACTTCCTAGCAGGAGTCCCCCAGACACCCTGCCATATTAAACAGAAAGTGCTTATTTTCATATCTGGCACCAATTAAAGCAACCTTCTTGAAGCGTCATAGTGTAATTTTACTTTTTTTTTGACGTGAGAGTACAGTACAGTACAAGAGCAGATCCAATCCTTTTTGTTTAATGCAGTTTTGTACTCGGCATTTTTGTATAGTAAAAAGTAATTAATATTGACCTCAGAATATCTCCTAATATCATGTGCAAATGGATTCAAAATGGCCTCGGTAATTATTCATGACTAACCCACGGCCGAAATTAATAGCAAACGATTTTAAAAACTCCGGATTTTTTTTTTTTTACAGTGGACACTTGCAGATTGTGAAAATTTGTTAAAAAATGATTATTTCTAAAATAAACGTACCTTAACCTTTGTGGGTATGAAAAACAGACCTAACCAACCTAGCCAAACAAACCAACCTAACCTTACCTAACTTCCTTACTGAGCTTCCCGGTATATTAAACAGAAAGAACTTACTATGATATGGTGTAATTTGAGGCTTTTTTCTGGACGTGAGATCATGCAGCCGCAACGGCGCTTCTGTTGCCCACGGCGTTGAGGAACTGATGAACAAATTTCTTTCCAGTCTGAAAGCACAGGGATTCCCGCAGTGTGGACAGTCTCTATTTAAGGGAATAATGCTGTGGTCTTTGAACAATTGAAGGGTCTCGTTGTCGTTATCTCTAAATACGCAAATTACGTCCATATAAGACAGGCGACAAGCTTCACACGTCATGCTGAAAATGAAACTGCCTCAGGCAAGGGGAAAAGCACCGCAGCAGAGCGTGGCCTTATTACCGCCGGGAAGGCAAATTAGTGCGTGCCTAGGTGCCTAATTATCTACAAAACGGAACATTTGCACAATAAATGATTACCATATCAGAACTCACTGATGAAAATAAACAGAAATACAAATAACTCGTCCGCTGGTTAGTCCTATATATTAACCATGATAATGGTCAAATTTAAAAAATAAATAAATATAAAAAAAATCATGGGGCTTAGTGTAGTGCTCCCCAAAACCCCCAGGTGGGTGGGCTCGCTGTGCCCCCTCCCCCCCTGGAGCCAGCGACACATTATTCGGAGAAGTATTTACGGTAAAATACCAGCAATTTTAGATATCTGACTTACTTGTAAATTGCGATAGAAATTCCATACAAAAAAGTGATAGAGATGGGTGAGATCTACCTTTAGCAGCTATTCATTTGCAAACATCTTTTGAGAGCCCACTTGTAAAATAATACAGTATACTATCAATGGTTGGTGTTGACAAGTCGAGGTTATTATGGTATATCACCTCTATATCTACCTTACCGGGCAGAAGGCTATTGACGCAACTCTCCATAAACTGTATGATGTAACCGAGTCTCAATATATCCATTGTAGATAAAATTAGACCTTAACTACATTACTATATACCCTACGGAACAACACAATCAGACACATACACTTGCCTGATATATCCGCCCTGCTTTCTCCCATTGTATATGGCTATATTTTTATATCTATTTATTAAAGAAGGATTGAAGTATTAGCAGTGCGTGAATCAGTGACACCCATTCCCTGTCTCTAATCATCTCCTGGTAGAAAATCACTAAGAGGTGTAGCTGTTTCCTTGGCGTCACTATGCTGTATAATATTCCTTGATACAGTGTTAGGCGTTTTCCCTTCTTATTATTTTCAGTAGTCTTTTTAATATAATTTATTTCTGTTGTCCTATTATTTATCTTTACCAGTGTTAATATATAAATTTCCTACACTATTATTTATATTATTCATTACTACTGTGGTAATGAATCTCATGTGAGTTATTATTTATATGTATACCAATGTTATTATTCCTGTTATTTATGTGGTTGGTGTTATAGTGTAGAGAGCATAGTGTAATATTTATTGACGTTTTCTTAGTAAAAATATAAATAAAATAGCCTTTTGCATCTAGACATCTGGTATGTCTTGAGCCATATTGTACTGTAAACAAAATGTAGTGCAGTGATATTAGCCTTTTTATATATAAAACGGAAATATAGCATCACATTCTTTATCTCAGAATGTTAAAAATTTATGTCATGTTTCCAAATCACTTGTAGCTGTGAAACAATAAAACATACACAGATATTGTTACGGGTTTCTTCTTTATTATTATTATTATTATTATTATTATTATCATTATTATTATTATTATTACATTTTCGCCCCCTCAGGACCCTATGTGGGTCAGTGACCTGTACCTGGTGGGCTAATCCCCGTAAAAAAAAATCATAAAACTATCGTGGTGTATTACCTTCACTACACTGACATCAATATTATCTTCACTACACTGACATCAAGTATTACCTTCACTACACTGACATCAAGTATTACCTTCACTACACTGACATCAAGTATTACCTTCACCAGGCTGACATCAAGTATTATCGTCACTACACTGACATCAATATTATCTTCACTACACTGACATC